ATCCTTTAACATCCTGACAAAACAGAATACAGTGCATTACCATAGATCCTATCTTACTCTGGCACTGGAAGGGTTATGCATCTTATGTATGCGTCATGTTATTGCAAAAGAATGGATTAGCTAGCTCTGAGGGACCTCCCTGCTGGTCAGAAGTCAATGATTTAAAAAAAAAAAAGGAAGAAACAAAAGGAACTAAAGTATTCTGGATCTGCATCACAATTACAGTATTTTGATACATTAGTAAGCAATTGTGCTTAATAATTATTTTTATTTCTTCCGCAGTTTAATTGGTTCATTAATGAATCCTTCAGTGTCCTTCAACAACATTGTTTTATAGGACATAGATAAAAACACAACAGCCATTATTAAACAAATCTTAAGCATCAATTGGATTTAGACAATACTAAAACACACACAGGTTTGGCTACTGTAAGATGTCTAAATAGCTGAATCAGAATGTAGTGAAGGCTTGGAACAAACCCTCAGCACAGGTAAAAAAACAGGAAAAATAATAAATTAAATTAACACACAAAAGAAATGAGCAAAGCATTGCCCTCAATATATATAGATATATCTATATAGATATATATATCTATATAGATATATCTATATATATTATTATTATTATACAGGATTTATATAGCGCTAACAGTTTGCGCTACACACACACACACACACACACACACACACACACACACACACGTGTATATATATATGTGTGTGCGTGAATAATAAAATGTATGTATGTTATGTAATGTAATTTGCCAAAAGTACCAATGTCTTGCCTCTTTAAGCTTATATTGTTATTTTTAATATAAATCATTTGACATCATTCAGAAAAATACATGCTCACTCAGTACCCCCTAATTTCAATCCCAAGCTATTTTTCTTCCCAGTGTGATGTACAAACACAATCGCCCAAAACAAAGATAAATATTCAGATAAATATGAGATAATTATTCAACTGATGGGTAATTTCAAGGCAACCAACTATAAAAGTCGTGCTTTCCTACTGATACAGATTAGTAATACAAAGTGAACTTTTAGCAAATGGTTGAATCATCAGACAAGGCTGGAAATGATGATCTTCTTGGGATAAGAAATCACTCTGGGAACCCTTTAGTAACAGTATGAGCAAGATGCTGATGTCTCGCAATGACTGTGTTGGACCCTACGATCCACATGCCGGCAAAAGGTAAAGACTAGGTTACACTTTTCATGTAGTTTTTAAAAACATTTAAACTCTAAACTCTATAGGTCTGAACTCAATTTTTGCCACAATAAATATCTAAAAATACTTAGTTTCAGATTATTCTTTTAATTAATGAAAATCTGTTATAAGTTAGATGACTTTTCAGCGTCCTCTAATAGTTCAAGACCTATTTTGTTCAGTTTTATTAGTTTTACACCATATTTCTATAACTTCTACTTTTTTCTTTCTCGACAGTATTAAGCTGGTGTCTCATTCATAAAACCGTTGCTAAGTCATTTTACTGAGATTTTACTCCACAAAACAATTCAGAGCAGTGACACTAACTAAGTCAATTTGTCTTCAAACATATAAAGAGAACAGGCTGCCTCTTAAGTGAAAGTGTAAGTTTACACGTTTGTGCTGAGGTTTAGAGGAGCTTCAAGCAAACAGAGCACGTGGCTTTTGAGGTAAAACTCTAATAGCGTTAAGGTGATTTAGTAAGACGTTTTCTTTTCATTCATCTTCTTGGTGCTCATCTACAACAAGAAGACTAATGCTAATGTTACAAATATGAAGTAAACGTTAAAAAAATGCCATGTCTCAAACAAAATCTACCCTTACAAGTTTTTAAGAAATCTTTATCCTTGGAGAATATATTTCAACATGTCCAATGTAATAGCTGAATACATATTACAAAATGTATATATATATATATATACACATAAAAGATATTTTACACAACTTCTATAACAATATTTAATGACTGCTTTCCTGCATTTCAGGTTCTATATCTCTATGATTAGGTTTACAGCAAAAATTCTCTTTGAATCAGTAGTAGAGAAAAGTTCATACATATTTTAGCCTATAATATAAATTAAAAACTGTGTAAATATGAATTTAATTATGGATTCTTTAAATGTATTTTGCACTGGTGACACTCAGATTATTTGGGAACAACAGAGTCTAATATTTTAGATGTGCTTGCATATATTTTACTATAATTCTATCTATATACCACACTGTGTACTGGTAACTTACATTATTTTTTCTTTGACATAATCCTTCTATCCAGTTTTGGATAAACTAAAACGTTAACTTACTCTTAATTTTGTATAGAAGTGTTTTCTTGTTCAATTACTGTATGAGAGCAATTAAGTTATCCTTATTGTAGATTTGCCAGAACCTCTCATTTATAGGGATAAAAAAAATTCAAAACCCTGGTTTGTCCGTGAATTTCAAAATTTGTACCACTTAGGAGCATCACCAGGTTATTAGTCAAGATTACAATGAAGGGGTTCAACCATTAATGTTCCGCAAATGTTGCAAAATACTTTGTAAGCAGATGACATTGCAGAAATAACAATGGCATCTTAAGAGCAACCTAACTGTACTTCAGAAGTTTTGGAAATTATTAAAATTGGCCACAAAAAAGGAATTTGTGTATAGTATGTATGACCCTTTAAAATGTGGGGATTTGCTCTAAATTCCAAGTGATAATTTGCATTAAAAACTAAAAGATAGATGGATAAATATGTATCCTGTCTGTCTATCTAGCTACATATCGATCTGTGTGCTAGCATAACATAACTCAAACACTTTAGAAGCACATATCATTTTATGGCTTCAGAGCTGATAAAATATTAGCAGTAAATCATGTATCACAGAATTGTAAGTTCTCTATTCACACTGCCTATCTATTTCTATTGAGACTTCCATTCTATCAAAACATACAGACTATTTCTGCCTATTTACAAAACTACAAGCAATTATATAGAAAAACATGTGGCATCCGGGGGAAAAAAAAAGAAAAAAAAGTGGGCAAATTAACTATTATCTGGGGTCAGCTAGGAAAAACCTCTACCTGCTAGGTGATCTTTATGTTTAGTTTATTCTGTTCTGATAATATTCTCAATATCTCATATATTTATCCTTGACATGTATTAAAACATCTCATATACAAACCAGTTCATGGTAAAATGTGTAAAATATGTAACTATCTTGACAGATTTTTTTAATGGGTTTTGTAAATAAAATATTTTGATATAAGAAATAAGCTTAGTGCAATTTTTACATTTTTGTTAATAAAAAATATAGCACAAAAGGTAAAAATGTGTTGCTGGTCTAATAAATAAGAACTAATGCTATTGCGGTGAGGGGAAAAAAGCATAACAAGGGCCAAATATGACAATACAACAGCCCAAGAAGATGTACCATGTACACAGAGATTTTCATCCAAAGTTTAACCAATCATTATGGTGCAAACATTCTATCTCTCTGTCTGTCTATCTGTCCATCCAAAGTTCTTTTATAGGAGTAAAATAAGTCACAAATACATACATATCCATTTACATATTTGGCTTTAAGGTTCAGGGATGTACGGAATGATCAGGAATGTAAATAAAAAATAAAAAATATATGTACAAAATTAATCAGTTGTCCACATAGGAAATTTGTGGTTGATTCTCCATGTTGTATACTATCCTTTAACAACTGACTTACTGCATCTAACAGGTAGTTCAGACTTAAATTCATGCAAGTGCTAAACTATAGATGATGGTTTTATAAGGGCTGCGTTAGCAATGCTGAGGGAGTCATTTACCCAACAGTGTAAATAAGTACATATTTGGGGCGATAGACGTAATCTAAAATGTGTAAATAAAACATATTCATTTATTTTGTGTATTCTGTTACCGCACCTTGCAAAACATTATGGCAAAACAAAAATGTTGTACTAATAATTTAATGGAGTAATTGTGTAATTACAGTGTTCAGTATATGAATTCCTTTTGTTTCACATGTGGTACGGATATTTTTCTTTACATTAACATGCAGTCCAAACTGACCAGCAAAAGGAACAGTGACAACCTTGGGGCAACCTATAATCATTGCTTATGGTGCTCGAGCAGTTACAGCAATAGTTAAAACAATTAAACTATGTGAATAAACAAAAAAAAGTCCCCCTGGCAGTGGTATTTTTTTGTTCTGACCCTTATCAAATTCACTTTTGCTGGAGAGCTTGGCCTGCATGTAAATGTAAGAAAAATTATACACTGGTCTGTCTTACGTTTCATCAATATGCATTATGACGCTCATTGAAATGTGTTGCGTAAAGGCAACCTTAAATTAGGAAGGCTAAGCACTGAGCCAGGCCAAAAATAGAGCATGCACCATTTTTTCCCCAACAGTAGTTAAGAGAAGTGTGTTACCATGGGTTGTGGTACGCTGCATGTGTATTGGAAGTGCATTGGGTTGCCATTGAAAATGAATGGTGCCACAGTGCAATAGCACACGTAATTTGCTTTGCAGTAATCCATGTATGCACATTTATGCAATGAATCACACTGGAGCACAGTGAATGCACCCATACAGAATACCCTCATGAATAAAGTGTGTACAGTTATCAGAAGGCAATAGTTTTCAGGCCTTGTCACTAAAATCTAAATTGGGAATACATGTCACTATAAAGAATACTTAGCACTCCTGCTGCCCTCATTGCTGAACACTGCTCTAATGCAGAGAAAGCATTCTCTGAAGCTTCCGGGAGTGTGGATCTCCTGGTCACCCCCCGCCACTCAGTGGTTCTTTCCGCTGACCCTTATTCCACTATAAGACACAGTAGTGACATAAGGGTTGGTGGGAGTAACCACTGAGTATAGCAGGGGACACTGGAGATCAGCAGGCCTGAAGTGTCATTTTCTGAAGAGACTTCAGCTGGTGATTCCTCTTCACCACAGCAGTACTGGGCACTGTAGGGAGCAGGAGAGGTAAATATTACCCATCTGCTTTCCAGGTAATGTGTCTTTCCACTTGGATTTTAGTGACAGGGTTGCTTAGGATGATGGTCAGACAGGTGATCCGACTGTTTACCGAGATCTTTCTTGGCAGTTTCAAGCATACAGTTATCAGAATACAATATTTTCACAATGGTCCTTAACAGCAAAAGTAATAAAAGGAAATATTTTTAAATTACATTTTTAGAATGCTGGTAGCTGAATGCTTCAAAGAGAATGACTACATTTGTAATTCTATCTACAACAGAAGAAAGAAATGGGATAATATAAACAGAAGGAAAAGAATTTACCTATATAT